AGCGGCTTCCCTCGCTGGTGATGATCTGGGTGCAAGGAGGGTGTTTGCAGTGCTGGAGGGTGCTGGGGGCACCCAGGGGTGCCCAGGCGGACCCTGGCATGGGGGCTGGGCCAGGAGACCTTGCCCTGGGAGATCGGGGTGCCCAGTTGGGGGTCCTGGCTGCTTGGATGGGGCTGTGCTGGGGGTCCTGGGTGCCCTGGGTGCCCTGGGTGGGGGCCATCTTGGGGTGCCTGGTTGGGGCACCATGGGTGCCTAAGTGAGGCTGTACTGGGGTGCCCAGTTGGGGCACCCAGTTGGGATGCCCTGGGTGCATGGATGGGGCTGTGCCAGGGTGCCTGCATGCCTAGATGGGGCTGTGCTGGGGGACCTGGGTGCCCTGGGTGCCCGGCGGGTGCCCTTACCTGGAAGCAGAACTTCTCACCCACGATGCTGCCATGCACCGGCCGCACGATGACATTGTCCCCGGTCAGGTCCAGCTCGGCCGCGCTCGGTGGTGGCAGCAACGACTCGCGGGAGCCGGTCCGGCTCGGGGCCCTGCAGGGGCAGGGGGGGCACTGAGGACCGGGCGGGGGCCTCACAGCAGCACCCATCACTACGTCCCCTCTTTGCACCCAGTGACACCCTGAAACACCCGTGTCACCCTCCGTGGTGGCATACCTCTCGCCATCGGTGCCGGGTGTTGCCAGTGTCTCTGATTTCACCCCGCCGCGGCCTTTCCGCTCCCGCAGGCGCTTCCATAACAGCCCCTGGGAAAGGGAAGGGGGGCGACTGCGATGTTTTTTGGGGTGGTGGACACCCCTGGTGCTGAGCGCCCAGTGGTGACACGGGCACCGGGGTGGACGGATGATGCTCACCTTGACATTCCCGATCTGGGTGGATTCACTGTCAGCGCCTCTCGCCACTGCCCGGGTGCTCCGCTCATCCGTGGGTGGCTCTGCAAGGACAGAGCGAGTGCTGGGTCACGCTCCAGTGCCCACGGGGGCAAATCCAGGCAAATCCCCCTCCCCATCATGCCAGAGCCCTGTGAAGGACCCAAGTGTCCAAGTCTTCCAGGTCCTGCCATGCCTCAATGCATCCTCAACCAGAGAGCACAGCCGGCGGTTGCACAGCTCCATCCTGCATCTCCGTGCAAAGGGGGCAGCCCCGGTGCCCAGCCTGGTGCCATAAGGCTGTGCCGTCGAGTCCCAATGCCAGGGCAGTCTCTCTGGGCCAGGCTGGTGGCAGGGGACGCTGCGGGCCGGCGAGGTGCTAACTCACCTCTGTGCACGGTGCACAGCAGCCAGCGCCGGGGCCCCATGGCTCGCAGCGGTGCCGTCTGCCCGTGCTGCCCCAGGCGGTGGAGAGGAAGCCGAAGGTGCTTATCACTCAGATCAGCACACGCAGCAGCAGGGAGGAAGCAGTGACGGCGACAAGCGCTTCCTCCGCACACCAAGCTCAGCGTGGGGCACGGCCCAGCGCGTGGTATGGGGTGCACCATGGTGCACGGCACAGCGCATGGCAGTGTGTGTGGCACATTACACGACGTGGGACATGGCATGGTGCATGGTGTGGTGCACAGCACGGTGCGTGGTGTGGTGGGTGGAATGGTGGAGGACACGGGACACGTCGTGGAGCACAGTATGTTGCACAGCACGGCGTGCAGGACACGGTATGGTGCAGGGCATGGTGGAGAGCACGATGCAGGACATGGCACATGGCATGGTGCACAGCATGGTGCAGGACATGGTGCACGGCATGGTGCACAGCATGGGGCATGGTGCAGAGCACGGCACAGTGCACAGTGTGAGACATGGCATGGTGCATGGCATGGTGGAGAACACGGTGCAGGACATGGCACATGGCATGGTGCACAGCATGGGACACAGCACGGTGCACGGTATGGTGCCCAGTGCGAGACATGGCATGGTGCACGGCATGGTGGAGAGCATGGGACACAGCATTGTTCGTGGCCTGGTGGAGAGCATGGGGCACGATATGGTTCATGGCATGGTGCATGCATGGGACACGGCATGGCACAGGGCATGGTGCGTGGCACAGCGCACTGCACGGTGCATGCTGTGGTGCATGGCACAGTGCACAGCCCAGGGCATGGCCACAGTGGCTCCATGCCCAGGGCCGTGCCAGCAGTGCACCCACGCACACGGGGCCCACACCCACGCGTGCAAATATCCCCATGGCGCATGGTATCACGTGGCTGGCTCGCTCACCGGGGTCCCTCCTGCCACCCGCCGGGTGCAGGCTGGTGCTCTCGGAGCTGCCGGTCCGGTTCCTGCTCCTGAACAAAACCTGATGGCAGAGACGGGTCAGGCACCTCCACGGCACCCACCTCCGTGGCCCCGGGGTGCCCTGGAGCCTCCCGCGGCACCGCTGGCCTCACCTCCTCATCCCTGCCCACGAGCACCAGCTGGCCATCTACCAGCGAGAAGTTGGAGACATCCCACACTGGAGCATCAGGCGTGGGAGCCAGTGGGACGGGTGGTACACTGTGGCTGCTTTCGGGGGCTGTGGGTGCAGAGCAGGGTGTCAGGGGTGGCTGCCGGCCATGGCACTGCCGGGTCCAACCGTGCCCATGGTCCCCATGATGGGGCTGGGGAACACGTGGCCAAGGTCGTGTCACTGTCAGGGCTGAGATGCCAGGGCACACCTGGCCATGGCTTAGCCATGGTTGCGGCATCAGTTTTGGAGGACATGTGGCTATGCTCGTGTCACCATCAGGGCTGAGATGCCAGGGCACATGTGGCCGTGGTCATGCCATGGCTGGAGCAACAATGCTGGGAAAGACATGGCCATGCTGCCCTCAGGGCAGCGATGCTGGGGGATGTGGAACCACAGCCATGCCACGGTTGGAGCAATGGTGATGAGGGACATGTGGCCATGGCTGCGGCCATGTCACCATCAATGCTGCAGTGCCAGGGCACATGTGGCCACAGTTGTGCCACAGTTGGAGCAATGGTACCAGGGGATACGTGGTGATGGCCATGCCACCATCAGTGTGGCAATGCTGGGGCATGTGGCCACAGCTGTGCCATGGTTGGCATCATCACCCAACACCCATTGCCCCCAACCTGTTAGCATCACCCTTCACCATCACCTAGCACCCCTAACCCATCACCATCACCCCCCCACACCATCACTCTTCATCATCACCCACCACCCATCGCCCCCAACCCATCACCATCACCCAGCACCCCCAAACCCATCACCATCACCCAGCACCCATTTCCCCCAACCCATCATCATCAGTCCCAGCCCAGCACCCTGTGCCTCAGGCCCTGTTCCCCCCGTTGAAGCCCCCATACCTGGGACTGCGTCCTGAGGTGCCCTCTCAGCCCTGGTCCCGCTCTCTATGGGGCCCTTTCTCTTGGACATGGAGCGCAGGTACTTCTGCAGCGTGGCCTTACCACCCTCGGGACCCCGCGGCTCCTTGGCTACCTTGGAGGGGGCTGAAAAAGCCCTTTGGAAGAGGGACCGCCGGGCGCTGGCTTTGGCCAGGCTGGGGGTCCTGGCATCAGAGCTGCCTTTTCCTGCACCATCCTCAGGACCATCGGACTCGGGGTGGCTGTAGGAGCGCTTCCAGCCCTGGAGCCGTGTCCACTCCTGGCAGGGGTTTCTCCACCTCCATCTGTGGGATGGGGACAACCACGGTGGCCACGGCACTGAGGGGTGCCCACAGGATGGGATAGGAGCCCAGGGTGGGGGGCAGTGGGAAGGGGACCCTGAAGAGGGCACCTCTACATCCTGGCATCTCTATGCAAGCACCCCTTTCTGGGCACCCTTATCTAGGCACCCATGTCCAGCACCCCTATCCGGGCACCCACGTACAGATGCTTCTATCCAGGCACCCATCTCCCAGCACTCCCATCCAGGCACCCGCATCCAGGGACCCACAACCAGACACCCCTGTCCAGGTACCCCCATCTAGACATCCCTATCCAGGACCCATTTCCAGGCACCCATAAAGAGAGACCCGCCCCTATCCAGGCACCCCTCTCTGGGCACCTGCACCCAGGCACCCACATCCAGACACCCATATCCAGACACACCCCCCCCACCCCATCCAGACAATCCCATCCAGATATCCCTCCCCAGGTATCCCCATCCAAGCACCCACATCTTGACACCCACCTCCAGGTCCCCCCAGTCTGGGAACACCCATCCAGACACTCCTATCCAGCACCCCTCTTAGGGCACCCATGTCCAGGCACCCCTATCCAGCACCCCTGGATTTGTGGCATGGAGAAGGGTCCCTTCAGGATGGGGTAATGACTCAGGGGTGACTCCTATGGGTACCCACAGCATGGGGTGGCCATACCCACCCAGGGTCTCCCCATCCCCATGGGTGCTCATGGCACAGGGGTGGCCGTGCCCACCCAGGGGCTCCTTGTCCCACGGGTGCCCACGCTGAACCCTGCCCCGCACCGAACCGGTCTCTCTGCATGGCCCCACCAGGGTGCGGCGGCACTGGGGCTCAGTGACACCGGGGTGCGGTGGCCTCGGCGTAGGGTGACACCGGGGGTGGGTGGCCTGCAGCCGCCCTGGCCCCGG